TTCTCACAACATACAGAACTGTGAATAAGAGAAATGGCATTTTGTTTTTTTGCTTTTTTTGCTTTGAGTTACTACATTTTAAGGTGGTTTATTATGCCTTACGAGATAATTGGAACAGACATCTTAAAATAGCAGAGAGACATGAAGATTTTGGAGCAAAGACTGGAGTCAGCATGGAAAACGGGTTGAAGAAGGCAGAGTCTGGACGTCAGGAGGCCTTTACAGGAGCACTACTGGAAGTCAATGGGAACAGAAAGAAGAGGCTGGAATCTAGAGATGCTTGTGAGGCTGAATTGATAGGATGTAAAGAGCAAATAAATGTGTGGTGGGAAGGACAGAAAGACTGAAATCTTTCAGGTGTTTTTACCCAAAGAGAAGAGGTGGGGGACAATGTCCTTAATAGCAATAATGGCCTATGATGGAGGGTAGATAATGAAATGTTTACATGAAGGGTTTACATGAAATATTAGTGAAGATTCCAAAGCAATTGGAAACTTTGATTTAGGACATGAGGGAGACTGGGGCTACACACACACACACACGTGCGCGCGCACACACACGTACACATGCACATGCGCGCACACACACGATCACAGTTCCATATGGTGATGGTGGAAGTTCCAGGGTTGAAATCACCAAGAGAAAGTGTTCAGGGCAATAAGAGGAGGGAACAAATGATGTAACTTTGAAAGAGAACTCAGTGATTAGAGGAGGAAAGGCCCACACAGGAAAATGAAAAGGGTTAAGTAAGAGAAGTTGAAAGAGAAACAGGAGCTTCATGTCTTAGAAACAGAGGGACAAGAGAATGTCAATAAGTATGGGGCTTTCATTTTCAAAAGTCACTGCCAGAGCAAGTAAGGTGAGACTGTGGTATATGGTTTTGACAATTAAGAAATATTCCAAGGCAACAGAGCAAGACCTTGTCTCAAAAAACAAAGAACAACAACAACAACAAAAAGTATTTAAGGCTGCGAATGAGACTATTTTTAATAATCTGGCTTTGATCAGAGTAGTTTTAAAAACTGATTAGAGGTTTAAAAAGCAGAAACTATGAATATAGATTAATCTTTAAAGATATTTGGTGGTAAAATGAAGGAAAAAGAAAGATAAGTTAGTTTCTTTGAGTATGATTCTAGGCTAAGGACAGGTTTGCCAGTAGGAATTAATTCACTGAGCCAATGACAGGGGAACAATAGAGAGGTCTCCAGAGCCAATTAGTTTATAGGCTTCTGCTCTTCAAGTATGGTCCATAGATCAGTAGCATCAGCATTACTAGGAACTTGTTAGAAATGCAGAATCTCAGACCTAGGGAATCGGAATCTGCATTTTAACAAGATCCCTGGGTGATTAATATGTACATTAAATTAATATGCACTACCGCATCAATTCATGAGTGGATTAATAAAATGTGGTATATGTATACCATGGAGTACTCTCAGCTTAAGAAACAATGGTGATATAGCACCTCTTGTATATTCCTGGATAGAGCTGGAACCCATTCTACTAAGTGAAGTATCTCAAGAATGGAAAAACCAGCACTACCTGTACTCACCAGCAAATTGGTATTAACAGATCAGCACCTAAGAGGACATATAGGAGTAACATTTATCGGGTGTTGGGAGGGTGAGAGGGGTGAGGAGGGGATAGGTATATACAACCACAACGAGTAAGATGTGCAACGTTTGGGGGATGGACACGCTTGAAGCTTTTACTTGAGGGGGGAGGGGGACATGGGCAATATATGTAACCTTAACATTTGTACCCCCATACTATGCTAAAATTAAAAAAAATTAAAAAAAAAAGAAAAAAATATGCACTACCATAGATCAAGACTGAAATATGGAGGAAGGAATGAAGATACAGAACACATGCAGACATTACTTGGGCCATATTTTTGTTCAATCACTTAGGCATGCTTTGGTTTTTATCTGAGATATAATAAGATATGTTTAGAACATCCTTTAAGTGCTTCCAAATTCTTGGGGTATATGGAAAATGAAGGTCTACCTGATGACAAATTGCCTCTAGTGAGACCCAGAGAAAAAGGCGCTGTGTTCAGCTTTTCTCTTAGCAGAATTACCTGCAGTGGAAGTGGAGATATTGTCATTGCTTGAGCCTCACTCTCAGATAGTTTGCTTTGCTTGGTCTGAAGGGGGACTGATGCTTTAAAAAACATTTCTGTGTGACTGTGTTATGCAGCCATGTTTGAGAACCACTGAGAGTTAAAGTAAAGCAGGGGGCTTAACCTTGCCTGCACATTGGAATCACTTTAAAGACGACTGATACCCAAGTCTCACTTGCAGCAATTCTCATTTAATTGGGCTGAGGTGCAGCCTTAAAGGTGACCTATTGATACTGTCCATAATCCCAGCCCTTTAAGATACTTCCTTCCTTTACTTCAATGGTTCTCAACCTTAGCCACACAAATTATCTAAGGAGCTTTGAAAACTACCAATGTCCAGGCACTTCTGTCAAAAATTCCTATATCAGCAATCAGAGTGCCATGGCTCACAGCAACCTCAGACTCCTGGGTTCAAGCAATCCTTCTACCTCAGCCTACTGAGTAGCTGGGACTACAGGCATGTGCCATCATGCCTGGCTAATTTTTTCTATATATTTTGAGTTGGCAAATTAATTTCTTTCTATTTTAAGTAGAGACGAGGTCTTGCTCTTGCTCAGGCTGGTTTTGAACTCCTGACCTTCAGCAATCCTCCTGCCTCAGCCTCCCAGAGTGTTAGGATTAGAGGTGTGAGCTACCACACCTGGCCAGCAATCAGATCTTTAATGGTCAAAAGAAGGCACATTTCCCTCTTCTTCCAGTTGAATTCTCACAGCATTTACAATCTGAGCCATTCAATGTAACTCTTATTCACTCATTCAACAAATGTTTGTTAAGCACATATTGTGCACACAGGATAGTGCTGCACTGTTCCTTATTTGTAAAATATGTATGCATGCCTTGTCCACCAACCAAGACTGTTTTCTGTTATTTTGTTGTTGTTATTTATTTATTTATTTATTTATTTAGAGACAGAGTTTCGCTCTATCACCCAGGCAGGCTAGAGTGCCATGGCATCAGTCTGGCTCCCAGCAACTTCAAACTCTTGGGCTCAAGCGATCCTCCTGCCTCAGCTTCCCGGAGTAGTTGGTGGGATGACAGGCATGCACCACCACGCCCAGTTAAATTTTTTTTTCTATTTTTAGTAGAGACAGTGTCTCACTCTTGCTCAGGGCTCAGGCTAGTCTTGAACTCCTGAGCTCAAGCAATCCTCTAGCTTTGGCCTCCCAGAGTGCTAGTATTACAGGTGCGAGTCACTGTGCTGGGCCAAGACGATTTTTTAATAGAAACAACATATTTACACTTCCTTTCTGTTTCCCAGTGCCCAGTATAAAATGTTAGCACTACTGCTCAGTATTTTACTATGTCATACATTTAAGTTGTAATTGAATCCAACAGCAATAGCAAAGTACATGGGTTTTTGGAATTTTATTTAATATATAGAATAGGGCTTTTGCTATTTGGAATTATATATATATATACACATATAAAATATATAGGGTTTTTGCTATTTCCTACAAGACATGAATAGTCTGAAGTCTTTCTCAAGACCCACAACATACTTCAAAATGGTTTTTCCCAATTTGTGGCCTGGAGACCCCATCAGAATCTGAGTGCTTGCTATAAGTGCAGATTACTGGGTCTCACTTTAGACCTGCCAAATCAGAATCCTTGTGTATGGGTTCTAAAAACTTGTTTGTTTGTTTGTTTTTAAGAAACAGTATCTCGCTGTATTGCCCAGGCTGGTCTCGAACTCCTGGGCTCAAGCAGGAGAGATTACAGGCAGAAACTTGCAATTTTGAAAAATACCCCAGGTAAGTCTAATGCAATCTAGAATTTGAAAACTGCTGCCTTAATGAGGTGAGTAGTAACAAGAACTAAGATGAATAGAAGGCCTACTACCAGTTAAATTCAATATTTTTTTTTCTTGTGAGGTCAGGGCCAACCTCAGCCTTTATTTACTTTTTATTTTAGCGTATTATGGGGTTACAAGTGTTAAGGTTACATGTATTGCCCATGCCCCCTTCCCCCCTTGAGTAAGAGCTTCTCAAAAGAAGATAGAATAATGGCCAACAAACATATGAAAAAATGTTCAACATCTCTAGTCATCAGGGAAATGCAAATCAAAACCACAATGTGATATCACTTAACCCCAGTTTGAGAATGGCCTTTATCAAAAAGTCCCCAAACAATAAATGCTGGCGTGGATGCGGAGAGGAACACTCCTACACTGCTGGTGGGACTACAAACTAGTGCAACCTCTGTGGAAAGCAATATGGAGATACCTCAGAGCGATACAAGTACATCTACCATTTGATCCAGCAATTCCACTACTGGGCATCTACCCCAAAGATCAAAAGTCACTTTATGAAAAAGACACCTGCACTCGAATGTTTATAGCAGCACAATTCATAATTGCAAAGCTGTGGAAACAACCCAAGTGCCCATCAATTCATGAGTGGATTAATATAATGTGGCATATGTATACCATGGAGTACCGCTCATCTTTAAGAAACAACGGTGATACAGCACCTCTTGTATTTTCCTGGATAGAGCTGGAACCCATTCTACTAAGTGAAGTATCCCAAGAATGGAAAAACCAGCACCACATGTACTCACCAGCAAATTGGTATTAACGGATCAGCACCTAAGAGGACATATAGGAGTAACATTTATCGGGTGTTGGGAGGGTGAGAGGGGTGAGGAGGGGATAGGTATATACAACCACAATGAGTAAGATGTGGAGTAACATTTATCGGGTGTCAGGAGGGGGGGAGGGGAGGGGATGGGTATATACAACTAAATTCAATATTTAATGAGCCAGCACAGTGCTGGCACGTTACAAAATGAATAAAACAAAGTCCTTACCCTGGAGTTGCTAACAGAGTCAAAGAGTGCTGGGTGCCTCACCAATAATACTAACATAAGGCAATAAACTTACTATGTCAGGCTTTCCATTGACCATATCTTTAACTCTCCCAACACACTGGTGAGATAGGCATTACTGTTCCCAACTTTAGGTGACACTGAGGCTCAGGGAAGTTGCCTGAGATAGCGGCGTTGATAAGCCGGGATTCCACTTCAAAACTTCCGAGTCCCCTATTCTTTCCTAGAGGTAGAGAGGTAAACTCAGAATTTCTACTTTCACTCAGTTCAGGAGAATTTTTTCGGATGCTACACCACCTCCAAGGCACAGGCACAGGTCTGTAGCTCTAGTGCCGCCAGCTGCGAGTTTGCCGGCGCCCTGGTGGACTAACTCCTTTCTGAGCTCTGGGCGGTCTCCTCAGAAACGTTGACAGCGTTGGGACTTCGCTTCCCAGCAAGCCCCGCGGCCGCTGATCACGCGAGGCATGCCGGGCACTTGGCCCCTCTCTCCTCTTTGGCGGAGGTTCCTGGCAGAGACGGTTCCACGACACCGCCCGACGTAAGGGCGCGCGGCATCCTGGGACCTGTAGTCTGGCCGGGACTCGGACGCCCCCTCGGATGAATGGGGCCGGGGCTGACTGCGAACTACAGCTCCTCAGCTGGCGGCGTCGGTGGCGGCCGCGGGGGAAGGGGAGACTGCGGCGGTCCCTGGGGAGAGCGGCGCTCCGGGGCCCTGCAATGTACTGTGCCGCGGCGGGGGCAGCTGGCCGGCTTCCTAGGGTAGCGGTATAGGCGGGCGCTTCCTCTGCGCGCTCGCTCCCCTTCCCCTGCTCCAGCCATGCGCCCGGCCTTCGCGGTGGGCCTGGTGTTCGCAGGCTGCTGCAGTAACGTGATCTTCCTAGAGCTCCTGGCCCGGTGAGTGACCCGCTCGGGCCGCACCTGGGCTCCCTGGGCGGGACTGAGGAAGCCGGAGGAGAGGTGCTCCCGCGCGCCGTCCCCGCTCTGCTGCGTGCGGGGCCGGGGCGGGCGACCTGAGCCGCGGGTTGGGTCTGGGCAGCCTGGGATCCCGCTGAGTCGGCTACTCCGTAATCCTGCGCACTGACCGCCGTCCCGCCTAACAGTTTCACAGCATCCCGGCGAGGGGAGCACTCAGGGTGTTCCTGTCATCGCCCTTTTCCACAGTCTGAGGGAACTGAAACCTGGGAGGGTTTTCCACGTGACCGGTCCAAGGTCGGCTGAGAGCTAGTGACAGAAGCAAGGTTTCTCCACCAAACTAAGTCTCACTTCCTTCCCAAGCAACTCCGGCTCTTTTCTTGATCCTGTTAATGGCACATGCTTGCCTTGAGCAAAGCACGTTGACTTATATAAAGCAGTCTGATTTTGTACATGCTGCAAAGAAAGTTTCATTGGTATTAAAGTATTGTGTAAAACATTTATTATATTGGCCTTAGAGATGATTATGAGGACTTTGCCCAGACATACAAGTCAATGATGTGGTAGAACAGATTCTTACGTAGAAGATTCGTCCAAATGACCAGAGATATAATTTCCAGCTTTAAGATATTATAGTCTTTAAATTTGGAAGCATGCATTTTGAAGTATAACTTTATAAATTGAAAATGGCTGTGACATTTTCCCAAAGGGAAACTACATTGGCTTTGTGTTAAGTGGCTTACAAATAATATTGAGTAAGAATGTACAAATTCACTGGGTAGAAGCTGTTACAGAAGAGACAACAGGTGGAGTGGAAAAGGATTAGGACTAAAAAGCTCAGTGTTAACGAATTTCAGTCTTGACTCTGTCATCCACTGGCTGTGTGGCCTTTTCAAGTCACTTAGCCTCTCTGGGCTTCCTTTTCCCAGTTGTAAGAATACCTGTAGTGCTTTCTAGTTACATGTTTCTGAGGCTATTCATTACAGGTTGAGTTTCCCTTATCCAAAATTCTTGGTACCAGAAATGCTTCAGATTTAGAATTTTTTACGATTTTGGAATATTTGCATATGCATAATGAGATATTTGGGGTATGGGACCCAAGTCTAAACATGAAATTCACTTATGTTTCATATACACCTTATACATGTAGCCTGAAAGTAATTTTATACAATATTTTTAATAATTACTTTGTATATGAAACAAAGTTTATGTACATTGAGCCATCAGAAAGCAAAGCTATCAGGTGTGGAATTTCACTTGTGGAATCATGTTGGTGGTTTAAAAATTTTGGATTTTGGAGTGTTTTAGATTTTGGATTTTCAGATTAGGGATGCTCAATCTGTATCTCCATTGACGATCCGAACAATTCTGTTCATGAGATAGATCTAGAATTATAATCATTGTTTTGCTGAAAATGAAACTGGTTCAAAGAAGTTAGGTGGCTTTTCACTACTTGTTAAGTTGCAGAGCCAGAAATGGGATCCAAGATGTCTGAACTCCTAGTCCAATACCTTTTTCAACCTTTCCTAATTTTGGAACTTGAGCAGCCCATAGATTTTGGTCATGTGGTGCCAACTACAAGTGTATTTTATTTGATAGCATTAGTCAGCTTTACTTAAGGTAAACTCTGTGTTGGGTTAACTTTTGCTGTTACAGAGCTTGAAATTATATTATGCAGAAAGTATTCATAAAGATCTGTTGTTTTCCTTGGGAGTAGGTGCTAAGAGATATGAAAATGAAATAAAAATTGTATCCAAGTGTTAATCTGATACACTTTAAAGTAAGGACACTTTGGAAGCTGATTTAAAAATATAAAAAAGTTGATATCAGGCCAGCCCTGGAAATGAAGTTTAGAGAATAATAGTGTAATATTCTTGTTGAATATGCCATTAAATTAAATCTTGCCAAAGGCTGTATAACATCAGAATATGCAAGCATTACTAATTTGTAAGCTCTTGACTAAAATTACTTCATCTCCCCTAGTCAGTCTCAACTATAAAAGGGGATGATAGTTCTATTCTACTAACTTCCTTGGGTATTGAAGAATGAAATGAGATGCATGTGTAAAGTCTAAAACACATTCATAGGGGCTTCCTTTTCTAACAATGTGGTTTCAGTATAGATATACCTTGTTTTATGAGATGTTCCTGAAAAGTTGTGGATAAATCTAACTTTACAAAATGATGTTGTACAATATAGGAGCATCTATTTAGAATACTTTGAATAATTTGTAAATAAGTCATCACTTCCTATTTATCTGTTTTGTAAATCTGCATTTTTGCATAAAGCAATGGGTTTTCATAAAGTGGTAAACAGGTACATTTATTAGTGAAATCAATGGTACCTAAGACTGAATAGCAACCTTTTCTTAATTTACTTAGGCAAGTCATGACTTCTCATGTTACAGATCAATAAAATAAGAGCTGGTTGGACCAGATGGTCTTTAAAGTTCTTTCTAGATACGGCCTTGGCACTTGTGACTTTATCTTGGGACATCATAATAGAAAGCTCATAAATTTTTATGGAGCAGGAACTGTGCTTTTTATGTGACTTCCTTGGAATCACTAGGTGCCCTAATAAGTAGCAAGTGGAACACTAAATATAAATGCTAAAGTGACTTGAAGGCAGAAGAGAATGTTTTTAACCATTTTCCCCAAATTGGAAAATAAATTTAGATTTTCTTTCTGATTTTTATACCTATAATTGGGACCAGTAATGAAATGTAAAACAATGCAGTGGACAGTGCAGATAGGTAGCAATGAATGAGTGCCTTGACCTCCCTCATTAGGGAGCTTACTCTACTTTGGAAACAAGATATAAACACATCAGCTAACTAGACAAGATACTGTGTATCTTACATCAGGAAAACAGTCTGAAACATTTTCTTTTCAACCAAGTGCCTGATGTTGAATTAAATAAGGAAGTTTCCTAAATTTAGCAAAAGAAATGCAAAAGGCATAAACTATCTGCTCAATTCCATCTCTTCAAAGTTGTATTTTTTAAAAATAAAACTTTGAATTCTTTCTAGAGAGAATTCAAAGTAAGAGAAACTGCAGTTAGCAATTACAATTTCTGAGGAATAAAGTTCAAGAAAAGAGATTAAAGAATCTAAGTTTTTACTCTAAAGTTTTAAAATGAATTATTCAAGCTAAAATAAATAATTCCATTGGTAGCTATAAACAATGTATTCTTAAAAGGCTCTACAAGTTGGTTTTTTAAAAATTAAATTATATGAGTACATTAGGGAAATTTTAAAATTCTATGGAAATAGAGACAAAAAGTAGATTAGAGTTATCAGGGGACTAGGAGAAAGGAGAAATGGGGAGTGACTTATGAGTATGGGATATCTTTTGGGAGTGTGTTAAAATTAGATAGTGGTGATTGTACAACTAAAAACTCACTAAAACCACTAAATTGTAATAATAATAAGAGTATCTGCAAACACCATTTATTTGCCATCTAATTCTGGAAGACTTATTTAACTCGATGCCATGTGGCTCTCAGAGTCTTTAGCAATGAAATGGGCATAATAATACCCACCTCCATAAAATAAAAATTAAAAAGCATTAGGATGCATTTTTTAAAAATCCTATGGAGACTACACATATAAAGGGAAATAAATTGTCTTTTTATCTTTTGTACAAATCTTAATATTCTAGATCACATTTGCTTAAAGGGAAACATCCTCTCATTCACTTACTTGAGTGAAGACCTGACACTGCCCCAAAATGGAGAGACAAAGATGAATGGGACATGGTCCATCCTCCAACCATCCCTACTAGGGCACTGGGTTTTTACTATCTCATTTTTCAAGTTTGGTTCCCTCATCATCATCTTGAAGGCAGGGAACAGGTCTCATTTAAGAGTTCCCTTGAAGCTGCCCCCTAACTTTATGCATAATCTGTTCTTGATAATTATTCTTTAATTGGCCTAAGCTTTTTAGTAAAGACAAAATAGAAGGGAAAACAAGAAAAGTTTCAAGCCTGTTTTTGGTTAAGTCTTATATTTAACCCAAAGTTAAATCTTGGCACTTCATGTATATTTTCTCATTGAGTTCTCACTACAACAATAATACATCATTTTCCTTTTATAGATGAGAAAAATTGGTCAATATGAATGTCTTTAAAAGGGTGACTATACTTAGATTAAAGGTTTTTCATTATGTAAAATCCTAATACTGGCCATCCTCATTCTGTTTGTCTTTTTCACTCTGTGGCAGGCACTGTGTTAAGTGTTTTTCAGGAACTGGCTCATCTACTTTACAATAAACCAATGAGATAGGCACTAATACTGTTCCCATTTTAAAGATAAGAAACTAGACTTAGATAATTACCTTTCCCTGTCACATGGTAAGTGACAGAGCTGGATCTCACATGTCAGTGTGTACTTTTAACCATGAGGGAACACAGTGGTTCTCAATGTTGTGTCAGCATGTGAGGATTTGTGTATCTTACACATGTGTGCGCACACACACACACACACACACACACACACACACACACACCTGGCCCTTTCGCCAGACCTAGACTGGTGGTTCTCAACTCTGGCCACACATTAGAATCAAGTGGTAAGCTTTATAAAAGTATAGATTCCAGGGCCCTACCCCAGTCTAATCAAGTCAGAAGTGAGAAAAAGGCATATGGGTTTTTAAAGAGCAGCTTGGCCAGAGTTACAAAGCACTGTGCTAGCAACCATCTAGAGTTAAATTTCCTTCTCCTGTTGCTCATATTTAGGCTAATTGTTTTAATTAGCTCCTTGAATGAGGTAAATTTCTTATGTGATTATTTATGGATTCCTGCAACATTTAGCCTTGTCCCTTGAACATAAGAAGTGCTAAAAGAGAAATTGTTGAATTGAATGTAAAGCAATAGTTTTCAAGGAACCCTTCTAAAGCAGCAGAGCTTAGAGTAACACAATTTTGCTTCAGCTAGTAGGCTTAGCTCTGTATAAGAATGACTTCTGTTTGGGGTTGTCTATTTTTATTCCTGATAGGTATATTTAAGAATTTGTGTATCTTGGCATATGCTTGCTTTGCAAGTCTGACCAGGCTGCTCTTTAAAAACCCATATGCCTTTCTCCCTCTTCTGACTTGATTAGACTGGGGTAGGGCCCTGGAATCCATACTTTTATCATCAATATTAACACCACCAATGGAGAAAGGAGTTTTTTTTTTATAAATACCATTATATTAATATATAATAATATAATAAATTCCTCTATGCACTAGCTTCAGGTAAATGACTCTGGTCAAGGTGAAAATCCACCCCAAATAGAAAGCAGAATCTATTTTAAAAAATGAAAATCCAGAATATGAAGGCTGGTGAATATAGGTTGTATATGGAATCTAGAAGTTTCAGGAGGATGAAGATAACTGGTCACTTTGTTCTTCTTCTAGTGATTGAGCAGAATTGAATGGAGGACAAACTGAAGAAAACCATAAACATTTTAAGCGACTAATTTTCACAGAATGCCTTAAGGAGGATGTCAAAGGGAATTTTTCTACTATATAAACTTGTTCCTAATAGTCACTATGGAAGATTCCCCAGCCGTTACATAGATTACTGAAGATGTTGAATTTCACACACATTTTTTTAAGTCCATAATATATTCTGTAGTGTACAGCAGTCTTTCCTGGTCTTGTTTTCATTAGTGGCTCCATCCCCTGCCCCAAATGCTTTTTAGATTTTTTTTTCTTAACCAGCCCTCATAGGTATGCTCTATACTAGTATATGTACTGTATATATCTGTGCTTCATACTGGTAAAAAGAGTAAGATTACCTGCCATCTCAAGAACCTGTTCTGCCCCCTTGGGGGTGTTATCTAAAATAATGTCCCTGTTATCAACACTGGGTACATTTCTTCGTTTGACAGCAATCTTGGTGATTCCTAGTCAGGAGGGATATACAAACATTGCAGGACCCCGAGCATAATTCTGTCCTTGGACTTTGCTACCTAAGCTGACTGACTAGGATCCTGACTAAAGACCTTTTGGTGAAGTGAGCATCCCAATGAGAACATATGACCAATTTCCTACAGTTTACTAGGAAAGCTTTAGCATAGTTTTAGGAACAAGTGTGTCGGTGTAACTATCCCTCATGGCCTGCTACACATAGGAAAGAGAGTAAGAAAGCTGATGTTCTTCCCTGTGAGGTAAATGCTAAATGTATGTGATCCTTGGGGTATGAAAACCAAAATAAAGGACAGTGGGTAATAGAAATCTATCCTCCCTGTTGTTCTGGAACTAGTAATGCATTTCAGTTCAGTGCCCTTTATTTCAGTTTTGGTGTCTTCCCCACCCCCCACCCCCTTTTTGTTATTCACTATACAGGAAGCACCCAGGATGTGGGAACATCGTGACCTTTGCACAATTTTTATTTATTGCTGTGGAGGGCTTCCTCTTTGAAGCTGATTTGGGAAGGAAGCCTCCGGCTATCCCAATAAGGTATGGCACATTGAAGTCTTGTAGCTTTTAGTCTTTTTTTTGTTTTTTTTTAAGTGAAGAGGTGGTACCTGTATAAAAGGAGTATGAGACATTCTTTTATAAGATTTATATCAAAGATATCAGTGGAATAATTTATTTTCTGAAGTTAATATGTTGTGAAGCTGCAGGGAGCCTATTTTTAGAATAAAATTCTTGCCACAAGATTTAAAATAGCATTGATGGATATGGAGAGAGAGGGAGAGAGAGGGAGTGAGTACGTGTGTATATGTGTATATAATATAGGGTCAGTCAGAAGTCTAGTGTGACCACAAATTTTTAATAATTTTTTTGGTGTCTTCTGTGTTGGTAAAGTTATCAAACATACTAAGAGTGATATCATTGTTCCATTTTGAAAATGAATGTCTTTTGCAAATAAATAGAGGTATATTCACAGCATTGTGAATATAACTAATGCCACTGTTATTCACTTTAAAATGGTTACTTTTTGTTATGTGAATTTCATCTTAATTAAAAAAAAAGAGTGACAAGGTAAGTCCAAATAGTTGATGCCAGACCTCTGTCCATTAGCCCAAATTTGCATAATTGTACTCATGGGGCCAAATAGAAAACAGTGCAGTTTTTATAATAAACAATCTATTGAAAACTCAGCATTCTTGCCGTGAGAGACTTGAGATAAAAGTATAATCCAGGCTGGGCGGGGTGGCTCACGCCTGTAATTTTAGCATTCTGGGATGCTAAGGCAGGAAGAACGCTTGAGTTCAGGAGTTCAAGACCAGCCTGAGCAACAGTGAGACCCGTCTCTACTAAAAATAGAAAAAATTAGTCAGATGTGGTGATGCATGCCTGTGGTCCCAGCTACTCGGGAGGTTGAGGCAGGAGGATCACTTGAGCCCAGGAGTTTGAGGTTGCAGTGAGCTATGAGTGATGACACCACAGCACTCTAGCCCAAGTTATAGAGCAACTCTGTCTCAAAAAAAAAAAAAAAAAAAGTGTAATCCATCCATCTGTGAGTATATAGTAGCATAATGTCTCTTGCTCCCTTTGAGAGAGACTTTCTGGTATGAATATATCCAAGTTCAGGCTCAGCCTTGTTGGTACTCTTTTGCAGCATTCCCAAATAGCCTACTGTAGAAAATCTGGCTGAATTTTGTTATTAATATTGTAGTTTCCCACTGTGATGTTAAATATCCTAAATATTTTTTGTTTGTTATTCACTGGCTTTAAAATCTGCATAAACATTTCTGCTCCTGTAGACTAGCGTTTACTTCACAGTATAGGAGCCCCAGCATTTTTGATTCCTCTGGCCCTTTCCTGCCTGCTCCCACTATCTCTTCCCATTCCCTCTGCCCCTGTCAGCCTAACTTTTATGATAGTGTCCTAGCTGGCTGGGTCCCTGCCTCCTACCTCCTCATCCCTCATTTCATCTTCTGCTGTTTTATCATGTCACCCTCCCCCAGTGGTGACCACAATGTTTAGAATAAAGTCCAAACTCCCCAACATGTGCTTTGAGGCTCCCCAAGATCTTGCCCTAACAGCCATACTCCTATGTGTGTCCTACACATAGTGGCTATTTTGTTTTCTGTATGTGAAGCCAGAATCAGAATCTTGCTCATGTCATTCATCCCCATAAGCCATTTCTAGACAGTGCTATGTAGGCAGCAATGTGGAATGATTGAATTAATTATCCTGAAAGACCTTGACAAACGAACTCACTTTATCTCCAAACGGCATCTCTTCAAGACAGGACTGAGAAAAGGTGGCGAAAAACTATGTGAAGTCACCGGTAGTATATTATTTAGAAGCTGTGAAGAAGCTGTTGGGTCGTAATTTTGCATGTATGAAATACTGAGTTCTGCATTCATTGTCAGGCTTCTCAAACTTTCCAGACTGTGTTAATGTAGACGTGGCTTGGTTGGGAATCTACTTAAAGATCAGCATTTCCTGAAGCACATGGAACCACTTATTTGTTTTTGCCCTGCATTCGTTAACCATTTATTTTAAATATTGTTTTTTCTCTTATTGGATGTATTAATTTGAATTATATGAAATTGCTGATATTCAACCTTTTTTGACTTACAAAAAACATGGCACTTTTATATGATTTAACCTAATATATATGAAGGGCATCATACATATTTTCTAGATCACAATGTGGATGTACAACTGTAAAATTATTTGCTTAAATCATTTATCTGTTCATAATTATTCATTTGTATTTATCCCTTTATCTTTCTAAATTATCAGGGTTACTGGATTTTTTTTTTAGTTTTTGTTTTTATTTTAAAAGCTATAAACTCCCAAAAAGCAGGTACCCTGATATTAAATAAAAATCTATATGAGTTGAATCATGTCCTCATTAATTCACAGCCACTGATTCAGAATATGGGATAATTTCAACAGTTGCTAGGCTGAAAGTAACCCTTGACTTAGGAAAGCTTTTCTTTAGAAATAGTGCAAATTAATATTTTAAGCAAGTATATTAGAAGAAATATTTGAGATAATGAACCCATTTCAAGTTCTTAGAGGTAAATGAAAATTATATACAAAGAACTGATGCAATAATAAAAAATCATCCACTTTAAAAAACTTATTGCTGTCTATTAGATAACATTTTTAAAGCTTAGTTTTAAGTTGCTATGTATACTTGGAAATATTAAATTAGTGTTTTTTTAAACATATTCTGTAATTCAAACTTTTCCCCATGTTAAGTCTGGCTTTGTGAAATATTTTTATATGTACTTAATATTTGGCTTCACATGATAAGAGTGACACAATCTTCTAATGCACAGGAAATAAGAAAGATACTTTGTAAACTAGAAATACATATTTCTTTCTATATTTTATTTTCTTGAATTAATAGATTCTATGTGATATGCTGCTCTCTCTGCATTTCAGGTACTATGTCATAATGGTAACCATGTTCTTCACTGTCAGTGTGGTGAACAACTATGCCCTGAATCTCAACATTGCCATGCCTCTGCATATGATATTTAGATCTGTAAGTGTTGTGAGCTCACATGTGTATGTTCTTCTGAAAAATATAATTAAGTCAGTAGATTGAACATATGGCAAAAGTAGAAAAGTCTTGTAATAAGTAAAGTCTAGGGTATAAGAATAGTTTTGTGAATGAGTGAGCAAGGTTGGCTTTCATCTAAGAATTAAGGCAAAAAGAGAGAAATCTGAAAGTGGATGGTTTACTTTTATTTATCTGATACCTAATGGATAATAAATAATAAGAAAATCAAAATTTCCCTGGGAAACAGATATTACCTTCAGTTTTCTCCATCTGGTTGATTTTATATTCAAATTTACTATTAATGCTATTTAACTTATTTCTTTTTTTTTTTTTTTTTTGAGACAGAGTCTCACTTTGTTGTCCAGGCTAGAGTGAGTGCCGTGGCGTCAGCCTAGCTCACAGCAACCTCAAACTCCTGGGCTCAAGCGATCCTACTGCCTCAGCCTCCCAAGTAGCTGGGACTACAGGCATGTGCCACCATGCCCGGCTAATTTTTTACATATATATATATCAGTTGGCCAATTAATTTCTTTCTATTTATAGTAGAGACGGGGTCTTGCTCTTGCTCAGGCTGGTTTTGAACTCCTGACCTCGAGCAATCCGCCCGCCTCGGCCTCCCAGAGAGCTAGGATTACAGGCGTGAGCCACCGCGCCCGGCCTAACTTATTTCTTACTACTTCTTTTTTCCATAAAATTACATTTACTTTTACTTGAAACAGGTTCTTCTCTTTTCTCATTTTTTTTTTTTTTTTGAAGCAGAAACTTGAGGTCATAAAGGGAAATTCCTAAGGAAGGTAGAGTTTCTCACAAAGCAGTACAGGTTTTCTTCTTTGCCTGATGTATGATGAGAGATCTATGTGTATATAAACAAGAATAGTGTTCCCTTAAAAGCAGGAAAGACTTCAAGGGAATGTAGTTAGGATTGCAGAAGAATGCAAAATGGGTGATAACTGGAAGGACAACATTCTGAGTGGCCTGAGATTTTTGTGAAATTGAATGTGCTATTCCTGAAAGGACTTTCCAGAGCTAATTTTAATTATTAAGGTAACCTTCCAAGCATTAAACACACACTAAACTTTCAATAAACACTTGTTGATTGAATGATACCTTTCCAGAGAAGAGAGACATCCTTGCATGACTTCTTTCATTAAAATTAGGTGTGGACAGATGATTAGTAAAAGCTCATATAAATTAGATAGATGGAAAATTTGACAAAATAAGTCTATAATATCATTTATTCCTGCTAACCCTAGCTTCCACTATGACAAATTATTGAGAGTTGATCATTTTATTCTCATTGTCATCTTTAAAAGGTTTTATTATTTTACATGACAAATTTTTACGGTCTATACTTTTTGCCATGGTAAAAACAACTGAACCTCATTAATTTTTCATCCTAGCCTCCTTCATTTCATGTTTTTCACCATTGTCTGTGTTTATATTCATCTTGGATTATGTTGTTTTCTTCCCCTAGTGCACTAAAACTCTGGTACTTTTGTCTTCTTTTACAGGGCTCTCTAATTGCCAACATGATTCTAGGAATTATCATTTTGAAGAAAAGGTAAATGGTACACTTTTATATTTCATGTACAGAATGATATCCTGAGCCACCATCCATAAGTTAGTCATCTGGATTCCGTTTTCCACAGTGCTGATAAGTTAGTTCTTGGCTGGGTGCCTTTTTTTCTTAGTTCTTCCTTTGACAGTGGTACATATGAATGCAATTTCCTGAGACAGCTGACCAGGTAAAAGGCCCCACCTGTGGGTTTGGAGCAGCCTTTTCTTAGTGTAGAACTGTTAGGTCTTGTCATCATTGAATTTTAGTACCATACTAACCTGTGAAGCCAATTGAGATAGAACTTCATTTACTATGCAGTATGGGCATCACTAGCCACATGTGACCATGTACATTTACAGTTAAGTTATTCAAAATTAAATATTTAGTTTCTCAGTCTCAGAAGTCACATTTTATTTTATTTTTTTATTTTTTATTTTTTTGAGACAGAGTCTCGCTTTAATGCCCAGGCTAGAGTGAGTGCCGTGACATCAGCCTAGCTCACAGCAACCTCAAACTCCTGGGCTCAAGCGATCCTTCTGCCTCAGCCTCCCGAGTAGCTGGGACTACAGGCATGCACCACCATGCCCGGGTAATTTTTTCTATATATATTAGTTGGCCAATTAATTTCTTTCTATTTATAGTAGAGACAGGGTCTCGCTCTTGCTCAGGCTGGTTTCGAACTCCTGACCTCGAGCAATCCGCCCGCCTTGGCCTTCCAGAGTGCTAGGATTACAGGCGTGAGCCACCGCGCCTGGCCTCAGAAGTCACATTTTAAATACTCAGTAGCCACATGTGGCTGGTGGTGACCACACTGGAGAACCCAGATATGGGAGATTTCCAATATCCCAGAAATTCTGTGGGATGGTGCTGTCCTAGAAGGTGCTTGTCAGTATGGTATACTGAACTAAGGTGTCATCATTCGTATTTAAAAGGAAATTCTTAACAAAGGCCTAAATAACCAAGAAGATGGAATGAAAGATTCAGGACTGTTCTTTGTGATGGTCACCAGTGGCTCTCTCTGGGGTAGGGGTGGGAAATACCAGGAACACCTGGGATGCTTTCTTGAAGTACCTTTTTCCTACCTTCGTTCTGAGCGTCACCCCTCGCTTCCAATGAGGAGGGACACTGGGGAGAGACAGAGGGCACATATGGTCTAGAAAATTTCTCAGGGCAAATTCACTATCACCGTTAAGACCAAAATTGTACAAGTTGATGGCAACTTTTCAATGTATTCGGTATCCAACCCCAGCATTAGAACCAGCTTGGAAAATGGCTGTTAATTCAGAATGTAGGCACCTAGAGTTTTTAAGTAATAAGGGCTATGTCATAAAAAGGACAATTGTCCTCTCTTACTAGGCTCCTTATCATGGATGTTTTATCTCCTGAGGCTTATGTATTCCCTGTTAAATACCACTGTAGATGTTCCTTCTTCCAGGTTCTCTGCATTTAGCATACATGTGTATGGTCAGGTTTACTACATTTGGAGTGACCATTGTGCTTCTTGGTAGCATAGAATTCACCTTGTGACAGTCCTATGGTCCTTCCCAACCTTTGATTTTGGCCCATAACAGAGATACGGAAGAACATATTATAAAAAGAAATTGTATTCTACTGATATTGCCCCAAAATGTCAGGGGTCTTTCTCAAACACCTGTTTCCCTTAAAAACTTATTTTGAGTCTGTCATCTTGAATCATCTCTGTCTAAGACTTTTTGAGTCTTTTTTTCTAGGTGTACCACCCCTAGAACAGGCATTTCCGTAACTATCCAACACAGTGAATTTGTAACTTAGTATCTCCTTGTATTTATCTTGGGAAGAGGGCCCTCAAGTTCATAGTGTGTGCCTCATTTCAGGATTTGAAGACCAAGTCTATATTCACCTTAACCAGGCCTTTCATTATTTTGGGGGCCTGAGCTATAAGTCTCTGCATCTTGATCTCTCCAGACTGAAGAGTTGCTTTATTTTTACATCTACCTCCAGTAGCACTGCTTCCTCTGCCACCCCTCTCCTCTAGCATGGTCCTCTGGCCCTTTTCGTCCCTTTCTCTGCTCCTTATCCAGTTCTGTTGGCCTTTTATTAGGTACTATGACCAGAATGATACAATGTATTTGAGTAAAATACTTAGGATGGTTCATCTTGTAAGTTGAGTTTCTTTTAATTCTTGCCTGAGGCCTTTTGCTTGATCACCAAGAATCTGAGAGGGATGCTAATGAGGCTTAATTTTAGTTAATGTGAAATGCCACTGTTCTTATTGCCCATAGTTCGATAAATTGAGTATTTCTCCCTTTATCCAACTATGCCAACATTTAAAAACAACACTAAGTCATTCAGAGATTTTTTTTAAAAAATACCCTCCCCAGAGGATGAATGATTCGATTATTTTCTAAGTATGGAATCCTGCTGTTTGTACTTGATCGTCTGTTCTTCCTCTTGCATGATATGTGTCTTATGACTCAGGTTTGGGCTCCTTAAAGACAGGAAAAGCAAGATATCCCTGTTAAGTGTAGGTCAGGCTTTCATTTGGACTCTTGAGAGCAGATTGAAACATCATGTCTCGTCTGTGTCTATTCCTGTTTTTGTTTTCTGATGAAAGAATCTATTGGTCAATAAACTATTGGAAACAAATTATTTTAAACAACACCAAGGAGAGGTGTTTAGAAATCAGTCGGTATCCTGATTCTTTTGTTTACCTACATATATGGACTCTGCTGGAAAGTGATCCTGTCAGTCATAGTGATTTGTACTTTCATGCACCATCTGACCGTAATTATCACTTGGAAATTCCTATCTGTGCTTTCCTAAGGTGTTTTTCTTCTTATTTTTGCAGATACAGTATATTCAAATATACCTCCATTGCTCTGGTGTCTGTGGGGATATTTATTTGCACTTTCATGTCAGCAAAGCAGGTGGTAAGAATCAGCTCACAAATCATTTATATTCACTACTTGCCATTGGGGCTCGGTTATCAAGCATGTATTAATAATTAAATAAATTCAAATCCTTTTGTAATACAAGGATTTTGAAAGCAAAGAGAGGCGGAAAGTGGGTAACATAAATATTTCCTTTGTATCTCGGCACCTTGCAATGTAACTCTGGTACCTAGTAAATTTTCTTATTTCCTAGACTTCCCAGTCCAACTTGAGTGAGAATGATGGATTCCAGGCATTTGTGTGGTGGTTACTAGGCAAGTACAGTAATTATAATAAAGCTAATTGCCTTTGCAGTTGTGTTTGCTGAGTTTTCTCCTAAGAGACATGTTTCTTGGCAAGAAGCTTCGGCTAAACAAATTATGCCATAGAAGAGAGAGGAACCTGGGATCCTATATCACTGAACCTTACTTAATGCACAAGAAATGAAAAAAATAAAATGTCCATGTTCATAGCAGTGTATTCTGCAACATGGATCCATGTTTTTCTTAGTTGCCACTGGTATAGAAAGAAAAGTATATGTCTACTTTCCCATCTCACTCTTTGAGAGCAGTGCTTGGAGTGTCACCATCTCTTCACGATCTGTCTGCTGAGTTGAAGTTCCTGCAAAAGATGGGCACATTAGAGCAGTTGACTCTTTAAATTTCCAAAGGACCCATTTCTAAATCTTAGATTTATTTTCTTCTAGGTTAGCCGTTCCAAGTGGCAATGTTCCTAAACCTGACTGATCATCAGAATCTTCAGGGGAATTTTTAAAAATACAAATATCTCTTTGTGGAATTAATTAGGCAACTCCTATAGAGCTTTGTTCTCACATTTTTGATATGTAGGTAAAACTCTTTTCAGGTGCTTTCGGTGATAACAATAACAGATTGAGACCGACCAGGTGGAAGAGAAATAGCAATGAAAGAACTATGTTTTCCTTGCTTCTTGGTTTTGAAACTTTATCCCTTTAGGTTTTTCTTAACATAGAAAGATCATTATGAGCTATTAGAAAAATATCTTACCCAATGAGAAAAATTTGCAAAGGATATGAACATAAAATTCATGGGGAAAAATTAATGTTCAATAATTTTATATTCAGCCTCACTAGTCTAGTAATCAAAGAAATGCAAATTGAAACCAAAGTGCAATGTTTTTTTATTTTTGGCCTATCATATTGGCAAGATGATAAATGGCTATTCTTATTGCTGCTGAGGGTGCAGTAAGACAACTATTTTTATATAAACTGTTTGGGGCATAATTTGACACAGCCTTTCTGGAAAAGTATCGTGTATTGAATTTTTAAAATACCCACAGCCTTTGACTCAGTAATTCCACTTATGAGAGTTTATCCTAAGGATATAATCAACATTTGTTTAAAGATTTGTATACAAGGATATACATTGATTTTAATGAAGAAATAATTGGAAATAAAAATAACCTAACCATTCTCCTATTATTATGTAAGATATTTAAGCATGGTACATCCTCATGATAGAGTAATATGCAATCATTGTATCATACTTTTGAAAAAATTTTAATGGAATGATTTGAAGGAAAAGTCTAGGAATAAGATGATGAAAAAAATCAAGATATAAAATTATATACAATCTGCTCCTGTCATAATATAAAAAATATTTACACAAATGAATCTAGAGAGATGTATTAAACTATAAAGAATTGGATGGTAATATCGTGGTTGATTTTTATTTCTCTTTAACATTTTCTACACATTCTATATTTAGTTTGTATTATTTGTAGAACTTTAAGCAATCAATAAATGTTCTTTAAGAAAACATCTGGAAATTAACAAATATAGGCATCTTGTAACCCAATGTTTGTTTTTTAGGTATTGCAGCACTGACTTTTGCTCTACTGATGTCAGCAAGGATGGGTATATTCCAAGAGACTCTATACAAACAATTTGGGAAACATTCCAAGGAGGCTTTGTTTTATAATGTAAGCAACTTCTTGAACCTGGGGGAAGATGAAAATTCCTGAGTTGTAATATGTTATTTCAAGTGAAATATGTCATCCTTCTGATGTAGTTGAAGGATCAGTTTATTATCATGTTGTTTACAAGCACCTTAATGTTTGCTTATTTATTGTTTCCTCTTCCTCTTCAACCTGTTTTTATTTTTGTCTTCATTTCTTTTTCCCTGACTTCATGTTATCCTCAAATCTTTTCTACCACTAGTTTCCTAAACTCCCTGAAATCTATTTTTGCATTCTTTATAATTTTAAATCCATTAGGTTTGCTTAAACTTTTTTCAAAAACACTAAAATGTAGCAAATCCTTTTGGGCACATTGACTATGTTTTTAAATATCTCCATTCCCCTTGTTGAGGAAAGAATGCTGGCTCCATTTTTTACTTTATCTGTGATGGCCATCAGACTGCACAATTTGGAGTTGATATCGTGTTATACAATGTCAAGTGGTCAGAAGCACTGTATGCATTTAACTTAAGTCTAACTTTTGTTGATACTGTTTGTCAAACAACTTGTACTACTTTTGCTTATTGTAAAGCTATTCTAATTATTCTATAATGTTTTCACACTTAAATTTATGTGACCTATTTCTTCCCATAGCATGCCCTTCCACTTCCTGGTTTCATCTTCTTGGCATCTGATATTTATGACCATGCAGTTCTATTCAATAAGTCTGGTGAGTTTGTGGTTATATGGTGGAATTACCTGACAGTTTCTGAGGCAAAGTCTAAGTCTTACTCTTGACTTGACCACAGCTATTTTGATGCTCTTATGCAAATCATCTTTCCCTCTTGAAACCATCCCTATTCCAACATAGGAATACAGTGCCATTAATCAGTAGTTGCAGCAGCAAACACTTTTACAGGTGCTTCTCAATTATTTACAAATGAATTCAGAGAATATCTTCAACTTTTCTATTTTGCTTTGGAATTTGCATGTTTGCATTTGAGCATGGAGTGTTTGATATTTTGCAAGTATAAACAAATAGTAATGGTACACTGCAGAGATTGGAGTTCTGTGAAGTTGGGCAGCAGTCCAGCTCTCTCTGCTGCTGTTCAGCCTTTCCTGCATGAAAGGTAGAGCTTCTTGTAGATCTGGCCCATGCTGCCTTGGAGCAGAGCAAGAGGGGTGCTAAATGATGACAGGGCTTTCCTCCTAGTTACTGGTTAGATAGGTAGCAGGAATAAACAAAATTAGTTTCAAGTGTCTATAGTAAATTAGCTATTACTCTTTTAAGTGGCCATTTAATAAGTTAGCTATAGATTGTCAGTTAACATGAATAAAATCACTTATATAGTCTGATTATCTAATAGACATAGAGTATTATGCAGACAAATGAACACATAAGGAATAAATAATCATTTTTAGGGTCAAGGCTTTATGTTGCACAAGCCTTGAATGGTAAGCACATTTTGTAGAATGACAGTTTACAAAATTAGTTATTTTGTAAACATCAGTTTGCTGTCTGAGCATGAGTTATGAAGTTAGGAGTGCTCTCTGCATTTGTGATGTTGCCTTTCCCGTTTGGAAAAAATAAATAAATAAAAGTGATGAAGCCAGTAAAGACATTTGTAAGGTTCTGAATTACTCAGAGGATCATTTCTGATTATTAACACAACAGTTTTTAAGTTCTCTGAGAATCTACATAGCAAAAGGCTATTTAAATAAAAATATTATCAAATTCCATGGGATTGATTTGGTTATGAGAATGTATCTCCTAAAAGTCACAGGGCTGGGTATTTATGATAAAACTTTTTTTAGAATCTGCCTTCAACTTCAGAATTATCCCCAAGTTAAATATATCAAACATGTTCCTTCTCTGCATTTTCTTAAGGTTAAATATCTGAGACCCTTAAATTTTCTAAGAGATCTAAAATCCATCTAAGTATTTTAAGTCATACTGACTATGTCTTTCCTCAGTAAATTGTTACAGTGGATCTCTGAAATTATCAGTAATCACATTTACCTTCCTTTTCATTTGAATACTTGCTAAGAATGTCAAAGACAAGAGAATACAAGATTGTTGGCATTACCCCCTGGTCCAGAACACAGTTATAAGAATTAGTCTTGGCCGGGCGCGGTGGCTCACGCCTGTAATCCTAGCTCTCTGGGAGGCCGAGGCGGGCGGATCGCTCGAGGTCAGGAGTTCGAAACCAGCCTGAGCAAGAGCGAGACCCCGTCTCTACTATAAATAGAAAGAAACTAATTGGCCAACTAATATATATAGAAAAAATTAGCCGGGCATGGTGGCTCATGCCTGTAGTCTCAGCTACTTGGGAGGCTGAGACAGAAGGATCGCTTGAGCCCAGGAGTTTGAGGTTGCTGTGAGCTAGGCTGACGCCACGGCACTCACTCTAGCCTGGGCAACAAAGCGAGACTCTGTCTCAAAAAAAAAAATAAATTAAAAAAAAAAAAAATAAAAAAAAAAAAAGAATTAGTCTTTATGTATATATATGATTTTTTTTTTTTTTTGGCAAAAGAAAATTAATGGTAATTTCCTCACCAGATCACAGCATCAATTTATCAGAATTTCTTAAATTATGCTAATAATTCAAACTCTGAAAACAATTTAACAAAACAAAAAATTGACCCTTGGAGGACTACTATGTCTTTATTCTCTTTGATGTTAGATATCTTATTTCCTCCCAAATATTTACTGTGAAAGTTTCATTATATAAAACTAACATAATAATGTATTTAAAGGAAAAATAGCTATTCACAGTTTTCTATTGGCCTACACATCTGCTAATTTTATTTTTACTGGTTTTCTTCCAGATATTGTCTATTTATATATATTCTTACATAGCTGTAATCCTTATGTAGATATAATTTTATAAGTTTTTCACTTTTATTCTGAGTTTTTTCATGTGACTATATAATCTCTATGATTTTTATTTTTATGGAATGTATAATGCTTCATCTAATTATGGTACCTTTGTTTACATAGCCTTTGCTCTATCACTAGACATTTAGATTGATTTTGAATCATAGTTTTTCTTTTTTGAATAGTACTGCAATGAATGCAGAACTTTTTTCTTCTTTTGAATAATCTAGTATCAATTCCTAAGGATAGTTATGAATATAATACTTTCATGGCCCTTAAAGAAGGGTTATGAAACTTATTTTTAAAAGACGAATACTAATTTATACTGCTACCAACTGCGTGGCTGCCAATTCTACTAATACCTGCCAGTTAGGATATTGTTTATACATTTTGAATTGCTAATTTAGTAGATATAAAACAGTACAGTCTAATTTAATTTGCAATTCTTTGGTTACTGGGAGAATTGAACATATTTCCAAATGGTGTTTAGTTACTAGTTATCTTTCCTCCTCTTGCGTTCATTGTCAATTAAGGATGTATTGTTTTGAACTTCTCTGTGCTTCAGTCTGTCTTTGTGAAGTGAGGTATTATTCAGGTGAATGGTGAAGAGTTTATTTAAAAATTAAAATAAGTTATTTGTTTTAAGAAACCAATTTAATGATTCTTATGGCTGCTATAGGCTGGAATGAAGGCAAGTATAGTGGTATATGGCCCAAATCTATCTGCAAGTGAGATAACATTGCTATCCCAATTATATTTAGTCTGTATAACCTTGTTTAAAAGATGGAAAGTTTTGCTGTCAAAAAATGATATGACTAATATCCTCTCTTAATCATTGCAGAATTGTATGAAATGCCAGTCATCGGATTGACAATGCCCATCATGTGGTTCTACCTCCTCATGAATGTCATCACTCAGTATCCTTTGGACTCCTCTGTCTTATATATGTCTTCTCCATGTTATTTTGGCATAGCATTGTTTACTTTTTTCTTCTCCTAAGAGTACAGTGACATGATTTTGGGTTTTGTCTGGATTTATTCTGCAATAAACAGGATGAAGAGACCCATTCGGGGAGCTCCTTTGTAGAGAACAAAAGAGATGTTAGTGGTACAGGAGGTCAGAAGCCACAGGGCAGCAGGAGGAAATGCTCTGGGTGGAAGTGCAGGAGTCCTTGGATTGATTAAAAACTAGTATATGACACAAATGATCTGTGATTTCTACCTGGGTTTTTTTGGTATCCCAGTATATTTCCAAGTATCACATAGTTCTGAAAACATTTCAAATTAGTCAAGACTTAGTTTTTTTAATTCATTTTTTAAAAATGATTATTTTGAATGATGTTTATTATAAAAATTATTATATCTTTGAAATTGTGAAATGGATTGAGATTGACCTCATTTCTCTGAAGTCACCTCATAAATCTGGTATACAGAGTTGTTTTTTGGAGGAATGGAAGGACTGAGAACAAGGTAAAATAAAGGTGGATGGTGTCATCCATCCATCCTTACCAAGAGTGTCATCTCTGTTGTTACCTCAGAGGTGACCTTCATTGGAAACTGTAGGAAGAATCCAGAATAAGAATAATGGGATGTTTTTAGGCAGTTTGGGATTAGGATCGATAAATGGACTAGCAGGACAGGAACTCTGCAGGGTGTTCCCCTGGGAACAGCCTCAGAGAAGCCGTAGCAGACCCTTGTGTCCCTCAGGTTTTCTTAGAATATGAAATTTTAAGCTGAGAACCGTGCCAAAATCGGCTCCCCCACTGATTTCCCAAGTACAATCAACAGAAAACTGCCTTAACTCCACTCCTCCAGGTACGTGTGCATCCGGGGTGTGTTCATCCTCACCACAGAATGTGCCTCCCTCACTGTCACGCTCGTCGTGACCCTGCGCAAGTTTGTGAGCCTCATCTTTTCCATCTTGTACTTCCAGAACCCATTCACTCTATGGCACTGGCTGGGCACCCTGTTTGTCTTCATTGGGACCTTAATGTACACAGAGGTGTGGAGCAACCTAGGGACCACCAAAAGTCAGCCTCAGAAGGACGACAAGAAGAACTGAGGTCTGCCTGGAATAGAGACACCAGTGTTGCAGTGAGGGAGGGATCTGGCGAGCGTCTAGCCACCATTTCACTTTTGTCAACGCTGAAGTACCGCCAGTATTGAACCAAACATATACGAGAGAATGCTCAGAAGGAGGGGACTTCTCAAATTGCTCATGGCTACACAGACCAACATTTGTAGACTCTGAATAGAAATTCCTCAACCCTAAAATAGAAAAGAGAACAGTTCTGTACTATTGAACAGCTTGTTCATTTGTTATTTCTGTTTTGTTTACCAAAATATTCAGTACTAGTTTATTGAGTTCTGAGTCCCCAGAACTACTGGCTTATCTGTGTTCTTGGACAAGATTATCCCTTTTGCTGCTATTCTGATGTTTCTCTGCCATAGCAGTCATTATTCTGTGGTCTCATCCCTTTTGTCTCCTATCACTCCTCCACTCCTTGGCAGCACTTTTTAGCCACTTAAACATTTCAGGCGCCATCATTACCGGGAACAACTGAGCGGCCAAGTCAACTGAGACACCAGTAACGTGGGGGCCAGACTTCCTCCAGCGTGCTGGGAAAGAAGCCATTCACTCTGTGAACCAAGCCCCAGTGACACTGGAGCAGGACTGGTGGGATCCCCCTTCTTTTTTTTTTCTTATGCAAAAGTCAGATGCTTTTCCCATCTGTTGCTTTCTGTGCTTAGAACAATCCTGCAGCGTATCTCATATCAGGCAAAGTGTTAGTAAGAAAGAAAGGTTGTTTATGGATGGGCAGAAGGGAGGCTTTTTCCCTCAGTCTTCGCCAGGAAGCCCATTAGCCTAGGCCAAGATGGTGACTGCAGGAGGGCCCAGCAGCAGCTGGCCCTGCTCTCCTGCTGCCCCTCCTGTAGCACTCACAGGGCGGGAGGGTGGGCCCCAAGTGGGAGGGGAAGTCTTTGAAAGGCTTTGCAACCAGGAGATTCCGCTTTGCCTGACAAGCCTGATAGAGTAACGACCAGTCAGGCGAATGAGTAGACTAAAATACATGGTGGGTGTGGGTGTGATGTATAAATCAGATCAAGTCACAACTACAATCGAAAATTATTCTCTTTTTTTCCTATAAGGTATCTTAATGTTCTAGCTGGGTATTGAGGGGAATGGTTGTATGTGCTTTATTATATGTAGAAATGTGTCTCCCTCTTGCTAATCATTTCAAAGGTCTGGTTTTCCTCATACAGGATAATCTTGAGCCACTGTCACTATAGTATGTGTAGCACGTGTGTGCTCTCATGTAGTTTGTCTGTGATGAAGGAGCGTGGAAGTCAGTGTTCTTTTATTTCCCCTTTCCTCTCTTAGCTGGGACCTCTATTAACCTCATACCAGTACATGCTTCTCAGTAAGCAGCTAAACTTAATGGCCACTTCTCTTTTTGCCTATAGACATGGCTTTTCTATTTTTTCTGGGGGTAAATTGTGTTCTCTAAATGAAATGGGGCTTTCCGGGTCTCCTGGACTCACTCTGTGGTGTGGTATGGTTATTCCACTGTCTAGAGCTATTCTTTGGTGGGTCTGAGCAGCGGCGGTGAAGAGAAATATCCTAGAACCGCAGGTTTGCATGGAGAAGTCATTTGAACTGTCTCAGTGTTTTGTTACTTAAAATGTGTATACTATTTCTTCACCTAAGTCATTGGGTTTGCAGAGTTATTTGTTATTCTGGACATTGACAACTTTGCAGTGCCAGTAATGGCCTATTCTAAAAGATACTGAATTAGATGTGAAACCATTCATAGAATCAAAAGCCACTTGCTTTGAAATATGTGGAGTTCCTCAGAATTGATGGTGCTATAAATGTCCAAGTGTTAAATAACCTCTTAAAAATGAAAACAACAAAAGTTACCTTTATTGCCTAATAGAAGAAATTGTCCCCGGGGGCTATTTGATTGCTACATATCTGGAGTCTCTGGGTAACTCTTAATAGGAGTTACCTCTTAATAGCCTTACATAACATAGTATCACCCTTTTTATGTTGATGGGAAACATTACAATTTTCAGTTGAGACATTTTGATGTACACAGACAGCATTTGGGCCCATTAGATTTTAGATCCTAGTTTTAAAGCATGTATGTTCCTCTCAGCACAAATACCTGACCAGTCTTATTAATAAGAGTATATGTATAGATGGATCATAGATCAGAGTACACATACAACAAAACAAGCACATGGAGGAACAGAATGCCTCAAATGCTCTGTGAACTGGTTTTTCTCTCTAGTAGTAAGAAACAAGGAAATATGTCTAAAGAATACCGGTTAATACTTTACTCTTTAAAAAAAGTATTCCCCTTGGTTAACTAATTTTTCAATCCAGGTTGAAAATTTTTTCAACCTTTATTAAAAGGGCAGATAAACTATTGTGTAGCAGATCATACTTACATATAATTGGAGGAGAAAAGTCTGTCAAATGTGTTTCCTCTTTGTCTGGGTCAAGACCATGTAATTTTGTGCTTCACAGATAGAGGATATAGTTTGATTACAAAAGAGTTTGGTGTGTAAGACATCCAAAACTCTACACTAGATCAAAAAGCAAATAGCAAAGGACACTAGCCAGAAAATGCAGCATGTGCATGCGTGTCTGTGCCCGTCTGTGCCCATCTGTGCCCACTGCATAGCGTGGCCAGCATAATACATAATGTAACAGGAGAAGACGGTGGGTGTTTGGATTATATTAGTTTAATGTCTACGTATCCTTTGCCAAAATTCTACTATCACATTATAAGTGTTACCCTTTTCATGTTTATCAGTAATTTATTTGTGATTCTTTGTTTTCTTTTCCATCCAACTAAAACAACCATTAAATTACTTGATAAGTTTATATCAAGGTCAAAAGTATTTAGACATGATCCAAATAGCTGGCTTTGTTTTGTTTTGTTTGTTTCCTCCTTTCCGTCCAGTTCACCAAAATGAAATGCTGCAGGATTTTAATTTGGTCACTGATACAATCAGAGGAAAGCACGAAAGCTGAGTTGATTTTTGCCACCCAGAACAAACTTATTCTATTCCTCTGGGAATATGACATGATATTCTTAAAGGATTCTAACAGATATTTCGTGGTCCTCTCCTGAGCACCTTTCCTCTATTTTTTTCACTTCCTAACCCCTATCTCCAATTTCTTCACTGCAGCCTCCATTCACTTGCAGTGTTTTCTACCGAGGTAGACCTATAATCTCATATCTGTTTATGCCTCTATTCTTTGGGGCCTCTGAATGTTTTTGTGGAATTTTACAGGGTATTTTTATCTGCACAACATGTATTTTGTTATACATTCTTATAAACATTGATATTAGGAGTGTGTGCATTTATAAGAATGAGAATATCTGGCAGGGTATGTGAATACTATATGTATAGATGAGTGTGAACATTAAGGGTTATGTAGAAGTATTTTATATATTCTGTTACTGTTCAGAGTGGGGGCTGAGAATCTTATCATCATTTTCTTCTATATTTGGAAAATGATAGTTTTCTTATTTGCTCTTTTTACCCTGTCTGTCACTGGTTTCACTCAACAGTGCCAGATACCTGTGAAGAGGGGAAGTAGAAAACATTAGGTCAGGAATAATTCCAAACCAATGAATTAGCTCTTGGCCGGTGGACATGTTCATTGTTGGACCAATTGGCATTGACGTAAGCAGATACACAAGTATACATGGAGAAGAACCACATTATAGAGATTGGAAATCAAGATCCTACGTATATTGCCTTTTGTTTCTCTTTGACTTAGTGTAAATAGAATTGTGAATAATTCTGTCCTTATTAGATGACCAAAGCATTTTGGTCTCAGTAGCTTTCTCCTGAAAAATGACTGAATCTTATCTGTGACAGTTCATTCTTAGATTAAAAGAACTGTCAATATAGATAAAATCCATTCATTATTATTATTGATTGGTGTGCCATTTGAAAATGAGTAAAAACAATATTTGTAGGTAAAAGAACTAGTCATAAGTCTTGGATTATGTTCACCATGTACCGGGCTGGGTTGGGAGACTGGCCCTTCTTGGCTTCGTACTATGTTCTGTCTTCCCAACAGCTCCCTCACAATAGACATTCCAGGGATGAGAGGGGCCAAGGATCATGTTTTATTCATTTCTGTATTGCCAGCCCCTGGCATAGTGTGTCTGACTTGTGTTACATGAATAAACGAATGCTTCCCTAAAGTTTCTGAGAAACCTTCTCATGGTTCCTGATACCTGCTCCCACCCTTCATCAGCTGGTTGGCAAGAAAGCAGATGAGGGGAAACATTCCTAAGATTCCAAGCTAGAGAAGGATGGAGGAATACTGGGGCACAGACTCTGGCGAATGCTATCAGTATGCAGCCGACTTCCTAGCTGTTTGCTCTCTTGATTGCCTGGTGGTAGGAGGGAAGGGCATTATGTATTTAGCATCTTACATATTTGCTGCTCAGGAAGAAAGTGCATGGAGATGCCTATTAGAACATTAAAGATTCTTAAAAGTTTTTGAAGTAGGCTGCTTGGGGTGACCAGCCCCACCCTTCTGTCTCCATCGCTTGTGCAGTTCGTTTGTATTGGCTGATGCCTGGAGATCATTGTCTATTTGTCTATTCTCAGTATCATACTGAAACACCTCCCCTGAGCTTTACCTACTTAAATTGCTAACCATCCTATCCAAATTCATCAATTTTAATCAAATGGAGCAAGTTGCAAGGGATGGGTGAAAAAAAAAACCTTGATCTATATTTAGAAGAAATAAGACCCATACTTTTTAAGAAAAAAATTGTAATAATTCTTTAGGCACACTGAATTATTGATATCTTTTGAGATGTAAAGACTCCCGTGAACCAAAAAGAGTAACAGTGGTTATTCCCCAGTGCCATAAAAATGTCTTTGTGTATCACTTGCAATCGTAAGTCATTTCTGTGCCAGTTGCTTTCATACCAGAGAATAGCCTCATCCTCCAAAAAAAGAGAATGATTTTAGAAGTAGGATTTCCTAACAAATTATGTGGTAGGGAGGAACAGCGGGGATTTTATTTATGCAGTCTCTGAGCTCTTCATTCATTCAGTATTACGTTTTAAGAACAAAGATGGGGGAGGGAGGAGTAGATAGCAGTAGAGAATGTAGAACAGCTAGAAGACATTAGTGAGTATTCAGATTTTGAGCTGTGTAAATATTAAACATTGGCTTCCAGCCTTATGAGTTATTTGAGCAGAAAGTGAAGGAGGTAAGAGATTTTGTGAATAAAATGTTTTGCCAAACTGAATGAGTCT